TTCCATAGCTTTTCAAACCAGCGTGTTGCAGTCGGGACTATCGTGGAAACCTCTGCTAAGCTTGAAAGTGTGCTCTCAACCTCAGGAACTTCCGACGAGCCCGCGTTCCACAGCTTTTCAACCCAGCGTGTTGCGGTCGCGGCTACTGTAGCAGCCTCTGATACGCTTGGAATTGTGTTTTTAATCTCGGGGACTTTCGATGGGTTTGGAATCGCTTTCCATAGCTTTTCAGCCCAGTGTTTTGCGGTCGGGGCTATTGTAGAAACCATTGGTAAGCTCGAAATTGCGGTTTCAACCCCAGAAACTTTCGACGGGCGTGGTATCGCGTTCCAAAGCTTTTGAGTCCATGGTGTGGGGGTGGACCCTTGAACTGTAGAAACCACTGGTAAGCTTGGAGTTGTGACCTGAATCTTAGGAACTTCCGATGGGCCTCGTATCGAATCCCGGAGCTTTTGAGTCCAGTCTGATACACCTGGGAATTGAATTTTAGGAACCTTTGGGAGCTCAATGCTAGGAACATTTGGTAAGCCCGGGATCGCATTCCAGATTTTGTCAAAAAGATTAGGGATTCGACTTTTATACAGCTCGCCCTCACACCGCATACGCCTAAACCACCAGCGATTCGGGAACCCGCGACGCCAGGAATCGGGTTCGCTGAGGATGCCGCTGCATTTTGGGTCGGGCCCGGATGAGATGGGGCGAACGGATTTGGTGTATTCGGCATAGTAGGCGTACCAGCGCCGAGGAGGCGGATTTGGGTTAGGATGACGGATGCAAGGAGGAAGAAGAACAGGATCCAGATGAGGAGTTTGAGGCAGAAGAGGGAACGGTGGGAGGTCGCCATTGAGGCGGTTGAGGGGTTGCTGGTTTGTTCGATTGATTGATGTGGTAACAGGAGAAGATGTTTATTGATGGCTCTCTCAACTGTATTGTTGAGTTTGTATCACTGGATGCAACTCGGGCTGCCTGTATAAGAGAATCGCAGTTGGTGGTTGATGGGCAAATTTGGAATTGGAAATAGTCATTGCATTTGAAATGGGATGGCAAGAATCGAGGACAAAGGGGGTGAAATAAGTCATTGTTGGCAGCAAAGAAAAAAGGCTCAGATTTAATCCGCGTCCGTATAACATTGAATGTCAAACAAAGGACGAGGAAAACTCGACGCAAACGGAATTGAAAATGTAATAGATCGAAAACATTCATTTTGACTAAGAATGAAACTACATAATGCTAATTAAGAAATATACCTAGACCATGCTATGAGCATCCCACCCCCTTTGCCTACAATAGGGGTTCGAGTAGCTCCACAACCTTCCACCTCCACCTCTACCTCACAGAGCAAGGTTTGCGAAATCATCATGGCCACATCTTTCCACCCCTACTAGGTAATTGCGGAATCTTCACCTCGTGAAGAAGCATCCAATCCGACAAATCCTTCTCCCACCTGGCCAATACAACCTTCTTCTCCCTCAAAAATTCCGGTTTCCACTCTTTTGACACTCCCTTATTCCACATAACCGGCAAACCGAAAGTGCCCTGCTTCCCACTCATCGAAATCCAATTACTCAACTGCAGTACCCTATCGTACGTCTCATCATACCATCTCTTTTCCGACTCCGAATTCCCCATTTTTTTAAACCCTTTCTCTCTATCGTTCTTGCCTGCCCTAGCAGGCAGTTGAAACGCCTCCCATTCTCCACTAGTCTCGGGCGCAGGGAGTAATTTCCCATCCCGCACCATTTTCCACGGAAATGGGTTCTCTTTCGGGATCATCACATCTCCCGACTTCCTCAAAACCGCATGGAGCAATGGCGGGTGATCAAGTGGTAATCGTAAAGGTTTTATAAACTCGGGATCCGTAATCACCTCGTCGCCCCAATGGTCCTTACATAGTAGCCCAAATGTAACCGCTGCCTTCAACGCATCGAAGTCCGCCTGGTAACTTGGTGGTCCTTGCATTCTGGAAGCACCATGCACGCTTCCGGGGAGCGTCTCAGAGGTGATGAAGGCAAGTAGGGTGGTAATGCGGTGCTCGAGGGTGTTGATTTCAAATTTCATGAGATTGGTGGCTAGTGCTTCGAAGGACTTGCGGAATACGAGATTTGGGGCTGGTTGCAAGGGGTCGTTTGTCCATGGTGGCGCGATGCAGTTGAAAGTGCTAATAGCGTGTGTGAGAGCAGAGATAGCTGTCTGCATTGCCCGCCAGATTTTGTATCTGCGTTCTGCTCGAGCGGCTAGGGATGCATCTTCAATGGAAGCATCGCGTTTCTCGAGCGGACGGACGTCGTCGAGGACGTGGAACAGGGCATTTTTGAAGAGAATGCCGGCTTCTTTTACAGGTTCAGCCACTTCGTTGTTAAAGAAGGAATCGTCACCAGAAAAGTTGCACTCGATGTATGTTTTGAGTTCAATGCCGCGATTCACGAGACGGCAGATCTCGGTGCGGAGAAGATTTTGCAAGAGCGGTTCGTTGTCTTCGTAGCGCGGGTTCTTGACGAGCTGTACAGCTCGTGGGTCGGTCCACACATGCACAATGTACAAGGGGGAGTTGTACACATCGCTACGAGGATTCTCGGGTGCCCAAATGGGGACACTGTGGCCTGCATCCTCAATGATGCAAGTGAGATGGTACACTTTCATGAATAAAGCTGTGTAGAAGTCGTAGACTGTATGCGCATTCTTTTCGTAGGTGAGGTCACGATGTGGAGGTGGGCGTCGAGGATCAAGGCCAAGTCTCATGGTTTTTACATCGCCTCCGAGTCTTTGAACTTCAATCTCCAGGCGGTTCTTGTATTCTGTGACCTCCTTAATTCGTTGCTGATCCATGCCATTAAGAATACTTTTGAAGATTGGCTTGTCGTCGGTATTGATAAGTTTCCCTCCGGCAATTTGACGCACCATTGCCTCAGTAATCTCTTGTAGATACGTTCTCAAGGTATAATGCTGGGCCTCTTCAGGCGACTTGCCGAATTCAATGGCTGCCTGTTGAACCATGGCATCGTTTGCTTCGTGCTGCTGGAAAAGCACCTCTCGTTGGCTCTCAAGTTCTCGGATTCTCGTTTGACAGCCGGCTTCGTCTTTGCACTTGAGGGAGTGATTATTCCTCTCATAATCAAGCTTTTGAATATTATGCATTAGATCGGTACTCAGTGTAATAATGTGCTGTTGCTGATGCCTATCTTTGGCTATTAAAACATTCAACTCCTCCCGCGCTTGTGTGGAATTTGTATCGCGTTGCGCATAGACTAATTGAGATTGTAAGGTCTTGATTCTTCCCTGGAAGATGTTTTCCTGAACTCGCATCTGATTGCTCAGATCAGTGTTGTCTTTTTGCAATAGGGCAATCGTTCGATCGGCTTGCAAGTTTTGAGCACCGAGGCTACCTTGCCACTGAGGAGATTGGGGAGACTGGGGAGTCTTGTCCCACCAATCCGGTCCGGAAATACGTCCATTGTTCCTCCATACCGACTCCCTCTCCTTGGCAGCATAGACGGCCTCCCTCAGAGCTATAACTTTATCTTGGCGGAAAGCTGCAAGTCTTCGCTCAGCTTCGAGGTCCCGTACGGTCTGTTGTTGTGTTATGAGGAGTTCTTTATAGTCGGCGGGTTCTGCAGATGCTTTTGAAAGCCTGCCGCAGGTGCAAGGGTCAATATGATGACATTCATCCAGATAGCTCATCGTGGTTGCAACCTTGCGGGAGAAGTTGCCGATGTCACAGACGGCAGTCCAGACAATCGTGACTGGTTGGAAAATATTGGACCATGTCCAGGCCGGAGGACTTTGTCTATGCATGGCATTCGCAAGATCTTGTTTGTGCACGGCGTCTGAAGTAAATGCCACAATACCAAACACGGTAAAGGAGAAGACATAAAATGTCTCACTCGAGCAGAAGACGTAGAGGGGGATGGCGCCAATTATTACCGAGATCCAGAATGTCTGGAGAACGAAGGGTTGTGGTAAATCTTGTAAATGAAGGAGATGTTTTTGGATCTGGTTGTAGTTAGTCGATATGTTGCGATCTGGAGGGGAAAATATTACCTGTTTGGAGGCCCAAGGAGCGATAAAATATATAAAGACGATAGCAAGTCCTAGTGTCTGTCATTTTCAGTTAGTTTCGAGTCTCTTGTAGTAACAGGAAACTTACGGCTGGTGGACCTAGAATGCTGACGGGACTCCAACAATACAAGAAACCGTCCCAGAACTACAAGTATCAGTATCTCAAATATGGCTTCTCGCTCGATTGTAAACTCACTACTTGTATCAACTGTCCTTGCCAAGCCCACCCTTCTCTATTTCCCTTGCATCTCTGCATTTTGAACCAGTCTTGGGTTACTAGGGTATTCCAAGGATCGTTGACTAGGAGGACACTTAGGCATGCCTCTTCGAGGTAGTCATCCCCGAGCGCTGCCTTGATGAATTCCACATTGTAATAATAGAAACCACCAATCCGCCTTGTGGCCCATTCTTGAAGATATATACCTACCGAAATGGCAATGGATAATATAATAAATATCTCCCTTTTGCCTAGAGAGCTACCGTTTCGGGGTGGCATTGCGACGCCAAGGTCGAGCGACCACAGCTCTGAGGATTTACTCGATGTTGATTGTTAAAACGCGGGGGTTTGAAAATGGGGTTGGCAGAGGTTCAAGACGATGGCCGCTTGGTTCGTGTAGCGACGTAGCGTTCACTTTCAAGTTGCCGTCCTCTGATATACTAGACAATTTCGTCGTATATGATCCTTTACCTTCGTCCCGTAGAAGTAATTGAAATACTCTCGATTGAGTTGAGTCAACAGTCGTGGCGATTGAGCACAAAGGTAGGAAAAATTAAACAAAGAAAACACCTACCACAGCGCGAACAGGAGACATTGTGACACAAATCACTAAAACGGGAAATAATGGCAAAAGTCGAGGACAAAGAAATAAATTGTCGAAATTCCCCAGCGCCACCAAATCCCAATTTACCAACCGCGTAAAGCTTTAAGCCGCATGCAGATACGCTTACTCTTCCTCCTCATCATCATCCAAATCAAACTCCCTCGCAGTAGCCACTCGCCCGGTCTCTTCATCCTTAAGTTTTCCAAACCCTTCATTGAAAAGTGTCTCTCGTGATGGAAACGGCTCATCGCATTTAGGCGAACGAAGTCGAGGGTAATATCGCCTGTATGAAAAAAACGCAATTGCCATCCCGAGGATAGAGCCACAGGTGACATCATAGACATCGTGACTGGAATCGTCAGTTTTTCTTCCCCTGTTGAAGATAGAAAATACATACCGATAGTCTTCACACCGACTAATTGCGATCATAGCTGCACCAAGCAGTGGTGACATAGCTAACAGAGCCCTCCCTAGATCAGTCCTGGGACGGAAGACATGCATCTGGCCACAGAAGAACAAAGTAAGAAATCCCAATCCACTGAAAGCAAATGATGAATGTCCCGAGGGGAAGCTCCTCCACCCATCATGTAGGATATGATGATTGGTCTCGGTGCATACGTTTATATCTACCAACACATGGTCAGCAGTTCCAGGCGCTGGCCTGCAGCGGGCTATCAAGTCTGGTCGTGGTCTGCCGACTGCATTCTTGATAACGTCTGTGATGAAGGAGGCGAGGATAAGACTGCAGAGTAAGTATGTGGGTTTTATATAGCATTCTCAAGGACTCACCTAATGAAGAACCCAAGAAGTGTGACATGGCACTTGTGTATGCTTGACCTTGTGACAGCCAGCGTGAGGATCAGGGTGACAAGGGGTATTCCTCCAGCATAAAATATGTTCCATCCCACAGGCACCCTCTCAACCTCTGCATGCGGGTATTGGATATTGATATTACTGAGGAAGAAGAGGCGGTGGAAGGGTTCTATGAGGAATTGTACCTGCAAGCCATCAGCGTAGTTCTGACCCGGGGGACAATAGAAGGATACCTACCAAGAAATATGCCGCCAGCAGCAGCAAAAACCCTACATAGTCCGGCGCATATGTTTTCTGTGTCTTCAATTAGTTATGTACCTTGCAGACTGCAATATCAAAGCCATACCTCCCAAAATCTGGCCACAGACCCAATCCACCCTGTTTGAGCAGCCAGGCCTCCATTTGAGGACCGTCCATTTAGAGGCATTATGCTAAGATGTCTCCCCAGCAAGAGATATGCCTGTCTGAAGCATCGAGTTATACGAAAAGACGACACTGTGAAGGAGGTTAGGTGGATATGGCGTTATGCGGTTCTTCCTCTACATTGATCCTGTGAGACATGTTGGCCACAAGACCTTCGTAGCCTTGCTTACGTATACAATGGAATGTCAACAACACCTTCAACCTTCAAGCTCTGCCCGAAGCCCGAACACCTTTTCGCGTGCCCTCTCCTTCACGAAACCACTGCGATTGAATCTCTTTCTAATGTCTATAGCTTCTCTGAGATAAGCAAGGCACAATGGACGATCCTCAACCCCCAAATACTCTCGCAGCCGCCTTCCCAGCACCTCCTCCCTTCTGGCAGAGCTTCACACCAGAGAATCTCGAGCGCATATCAAAATTACGCGCCCCTCAAAATCGCACCAGGAGAGAAGAAAATGGCATACCTCCGCGAATCCTCAATCTACCCCCCGAATTACGGTTCCTGCAGCCACCAGAGCCGCCGGTGGAGGGTGTTTATAGGTGTTTTGGGGATGTGTTCAACGTAAGTTTATTTCGGCGGTTTGAAAGGCTTTAAAAGAAAACATGCTAATTAAGGTTGTAATACAGTTGAAAGATCCCCTTCCAACCCTCCAAGAAATGTCCATCCAACAACTCTACACCCCACCTCCGTCCCCCTCCTCACACATCGACCGCGCTCTAATCCTCAAACGCCTTGCAAAGTCTCTCCTGCTCAACTTCCTCGAACTAACAGGCATCATGTCCACGAACCCCGAACAATACGAAGAGAAAGTTCAGGATTTGCGGACCCTGTTTATCAATTTCCATCATTTGCTTAATGAGTATCGTCCGCATCAGGCAAGGGAGAGCTTGATTCTTATGATGCAGGATCAGCTGGAGAAGAGTCGGAAGGAGACCCAGGGGATTAGAGCGGTGAAAGAGAGGGTTGAGGGGGTTATTGAGGGGTTGGGGAAGTTGAAATTGGCGGAATTTGAGAATGGGAAGGTTGGACAGGGAGAGGTGGAGGTTGTGGAGGATGGGAGAGATGTCTGGGAGACTTTGGAAAAAGAGTTCAGTTGACAGGAACTGTAAAGGATTCCGAAGGATACTATCAACCATAGTAAATCACTATGTGGGGACCCATTGAAGGCTATGGAAGATCATCGTATTGTTTCACAACCATGCATCGTGTGTACGCCCCCAATCCTTTCTCTAGCCCCTCATATCAAATCATCATTCATAGCCCCCTTGGCTTGGCCTCCAATTGCATCCCAATACGTCCCATGCATCGATCCCCCTACATCACAGTGCAAGGGATAGGAATGCAGCAACACTCAAATCCATCGCATTCGATACAAAAAGATTTCGTGCCCCCAGCGCCTCCGTCGGGCTTCACAATGGAGGAGATGGTCGAGGAGGCAGCGGAGCCTGGACCGTTGAGGTTCACGAGGGTTGAGGAGGAGGTGGAAGTGCACATTTTGGCTGCTTTATAGTAGGTACCTGGTTAGAAATTGGACTGCGGGTAGAGGAACAAGGAAGAGGGAGAGAGGAAGCTTAAAGACGTACGTAGGTGCTGTTTGATTGAGGTTGCTGAAGCAGTAGGTTTGGTGTTTCTTGGTATTGATTATGTTGGCGAGGCTTTGATAATGTTAGTGTTGATATTCAATAGCTTGTCTATTTGAGAGAAGTCGAAAAGAATGCAGAGGTTGGGTGGCCTACCTTTTCTATGTTATTACCTGCTTCTGCTTAATGACTGTGTATTGTATTTGTGGATGCGTGAATGGTGTTGTTTGAGTCCATGGATCTTGGAAGCTTGGTGCTATCGAGTTGTGGCGTCAGATCAACCGCCCCAGCCACAGCTATGATGAATGAAATGTGGAGCCAAACTTCTACCGGGTCTCTATTCATATCTAAAAAATAGATATGACCCATACTTCCATCTCTGAATAGCTTCACATAATGGCTTTTGGTATTTCCGTCCTTTACATGTGAGAAATCATTCTAGGAATTACCCACGTCATACTACCCCCGTCATAAGTTGGCAGTGGCGAGTATTATGTACCTGCGCCTCACTTCAACGTCCGTCCGTCCGTCCTGCAGATATTGCGGGTGAAGGCGCATGGATGCTGTCTCCAATGCAAGTGCTTCGATTGGGAACATTCTCATTGTCATCCCCTTCTTCTGCATGGACGGGTAGTTCGTAAGTGGCGCAAGACTCTCACCGGCGCATGTCTTTGCACAATATCAATTCTCGAGTCGCCGAGGAGGGGAGGGGAGCATGGTTTATCAAAGCCATCGATAATAACAAACGACACTTCAAGCCATCCTATCAACTTGTGAAAAGCCTCACAGCGGATCAGTTCCTATAGAAAGTCCAATAGGTATCTACCTGTTCCTGCAGATACTCAAATGCTCCTTCGTGAAGTCTCGTAGCGAATCTCCTTTTCCAACTCACTTTTGCACACCACTTCATTTTCACACCCCCTTCACAATAATTTTGAAACATACAACTGAGAAGTATTTGCAACCTTGGTTTCCAATCAATAAAAGAAAGCCCTGTGCGATTAATATTTTTCAACACGGAGGCACAGCGTTGCAATACGATTCGGATTTCTGTACCGAGGGAAGTACTCATGATTTAAACCGAGAAACGGATATTGCTCGGCCAAGACCAGTGGCCTTTTTGTGGCTAATGATAGCCGCGAGTTTACTATGTGTAGTTTGATTACGAAAACGTGGGGTTTGAATTGCGATAAAGGATCTTTTGATTTGCCTTCTACGAGTAGTGCTGGTGCGGGTCATGGATATATTCAAGAATGAGCTTGGTACAGACATATTCAGCACTTTTGGAAGCTCTATCACGTTATCGTCCGGCAATCGCGGATCGTTTCCTTTTTCCTCAAGGAGCTTGGACATTCGGGAGATCAGGGCCAAGGTTCTGCAGTGCCCGGGTTCCTGGCAAGATGGTCTTGTAGATCTCGAGACGATTTTCTTACAAAGTAACTATTCTTAGATACAAACAACACGCCCAACCAAAATGTTGGAATACTCATCACCACAATATACGCCGCGAAATTGCAACAAGATGTATTCAGATACTTTTCGGTATACCCGGGCGGGCAACTGTTCCGATCAATGGAGCGAGCGGCCGAGAACAAGATGCAGTGTGCTACGGAGTACTCTGAGCGAAATATCTTCAAGTCCAAATCCTAGCTCTCCGTAGCAAACACACGTGGAAACAGGTAATCAATTTGATCGGCTGCATATGAAATAATTTCCCGTCTGCAACGGCTCCGATCCATCGCGTCTGATTATATCGAAAATGGTTCAAGCCGCTGCTACCTGCGTTCCGGGTGGGTGAAAGTCTCGGTTTTGGCGGGCGGGTAAAGCACGTTTCCTGCACCAACGCGGCACAGCGTCTATCTACTAGTATACATCCTCAAGGCCATCCACGTACACATCCCAGAGCGAGCTAGCCAATTACGAATTGTAATCTCGTAGAATTGCGAAATTGGTCACATACAAATGGCGTACCGGACCCCTCTCCCCAGACTTTCTTCTTCTTTGCAACTCTCCTGCTATGTCTACAACGCGTACTGGTGAGGAAGATAATGAATTTACTGCGACTTGGGCCCCTGGGACGGCAGCCGGACTGTCTATAGCATCGAAGTGTCAGTTCGAAGAATCAAGGAACTTGGATTTGGTACGGGATAATGACAAGCGAGAGTATATCAGATGCCAACCAACTGAGGTCGACCAACTCAAGCCAACATACAACAAACCAACAGGGAACCGTGTCGATTCGTCGTTCAATTGCTATTCGAAATACTCGATAGATGTCACAAGCAACGTAGAGATCGTCGAACCGGTAACTTGTTGTCCTGAGTAAGTGATTGATTCCACCTCCATGAGCTTCCGCTGATTATAAGAAGGGAATATGGATTGAAAGAAGGCTTTTGCATCACGATGGAAGAGCTAGAACAAGCAATTCTTGCTAGGAGTCATTCATCTAGCATAGATGCAATGATCAACATTGCGCTCTCAGAAGATTCGCGTTTACTGCCAAGGCAAGACTCGGAATCTATAACCACCACAATTGCCCTTTCAATAATAGAACCGGGAGCTACATCAGAACCAGCTCCAGCATCAACAACATCACAGGAGCCCTCACCAACATCTTCAAGCCAGTCGCCACTTTCAGATTCAATAATTTCCACAACGTCCACGCCGACATCCACACCTTCATCTTCAACAACAGACATTCCTTTACTCATCGCCACGGGCTCATTATCAACGATATATTCCATTCCTTCAAGCTTGACATCACCAAGCACAACCGCTACTCCTAATTCAAAATCATCCTCCGGCATCAGCGTCGGAGCAAAAGTCGGCATCGCACTTGGTGTCATTGCCTTGGTAGCAGCCATCACATGCTTACTTATAATACTACACGTTAAGCGGAGACGAAGATCACTGCAAACCGCAACCTTCACAGGTACGTCTGAGAAGAAGAAGAGAAAAAAGGCCAGAGAAGAGTCCACGATCGAGGTCGGAAATCTGCATCAAGAACCAGCATCACCTGATATTTCTCACCCACAACTGCAATCAGCACTCCCACCCGTATTCATACGAGAATCAGCACCATTCAAGTACCCACGACAACAAACTCCATTATCACCTGACCATAATTTATCATCAGACCAGCATCATAAAAATCCATTACCAGACCAGCAACAACTTAGGAAGAAAGCTTCAGAAGCTTCAGAAGACAAAGAAGTCGTGTCCCCGGGCTTGTCGATCCCGCAAACATCAAGAAGCAGCAACGAGAAAACCGGCCAACTTTCCAATTCGTCGACACCACAAGACCCCTTTAGAAGCAATTCGCAAACCTCAACTCCCTCGGACGGCCCACATGAACTGGACACGGGCGAGAGAGTCGAGTTAGATGCCGGCCATACTGCCAGCTCTATTTCCCGCACCGTGTCCCCCGAAACGCAGCGTGATGGCACCATATCGCACGGCATCACATCGAGCAGTTTACGGCGGCCCTCAAACCTATCAGCAGAGTCGCCTAAGAGATCGAACCGGATAGAAGAAGAAAGAATGCTGGGTCTACGCTCACGCTCGAATACAATTGAAGAGGGCAGAGTTTCAGAGGATGCGTATTCACCGCGAGAGCGAGATGCGAGGATGGGTGGGCAGGGGCATATTTCTCCCATGTCGCAGAGGACGCATCCAAGTCAACGGACGGTGAGGACGCAGAAAACCGATCAGAGTGGGAGGTCGTTTTTAGATCTTGATTGATATGGTATATGAGATGAGATGATAGATAACGTTAATGAAATGTATAATTTATGAGACATGTTTAGCCTTGACTTGACAACTTTACAATTTGTTGTGGACGAGTGTCCAACCGGTTGCTACATTACCTGTGCTGTTTTTGAGTGAGTACTTTCGTACCAGCCAAGTGATTTTGTGAACGAAGGGAAGCACCGCTCAAATCTAGAAAAGTCCGAGTAATTGTCAGAGCATGCCAAAGAGTCTTAACTTTTTAGGGTGAGGCACGGCACGGGTATGCTCTGACAATTGATTCAAGTTGAACGCGGAGTCTCGGACTCGGAATCGGGATTGCTGGGTTTCCGATTCGATTCAGAGCTATCCGAGTCCTAGTCGCTGGTGGTCGCATTTATTTAAGTCTGTGTATCCCACTGTTTTACTGCATAAATGTATACCTATTCCGCATCACTTAAAGGCTCGGATCCGACAACTATATGGCCTTTAGAGGCTCCAACTTAGAAGTCTAACTTTAATATTAGTTTTCTGTTTATGGTATGGTTTTATTGATCTATATTAGGCCATAGAGCCAGTTAGAGCTACAGGATCATATCTATTTACGCTAAGTACGGAGGTACAGGCCATAAGGGGTTTGACTAAGTCGACTTACACTAGCCAAATCAGGAAGGGATCATGAATTGTGCAAAGCACGGACATACTGACTTGCCGGGTACTTCCATCTCCATATGAATGTGGAGGCAGATGAGGTACCTGACGAGGTAAGCTTAAATGCATCATTGCACTCT